CCAAGCAGAAAATTTGAAAATGAATTCAATAAAATCTCCCTGCACATCCCTCCAGAGAAAAGACTTAGCCCCACTTACTTGTGAATGGATGTGCGTGTCTGCACCCACGCAGAGCAGGCAAGGTATTTACAGACAGTCGCCGTGATTGTGTAAGTCTTGCACCAAATTTCATGAGTGTTCAAGTTTATTTTGCCAAAGGCTCCCAAATTCCCATACTGGGTTGGCAATTAGGACTGTCTGGAGAAAACTATGTGGTTTGGGTATTTGGAGTGGGCTCTGTTGCTACAGCAGGGATGATGCAAGAGCTTGGGTACAGCTGGAGACAGGTCCAGTCCCTCCTGCCGATGATGGCAGCATGTTCCCTGAGCTGAATCCCTACTGCTACTAGGAAAGTGAGTTTAGCTAAAGGGACCTTTTACAAAAGATGTTTATCAGGGTCTCAAAAAATCAAACTGCAGATTGACCTGGCCACCTTCCAAGCTTGTAGGAAAGCATAAAATGAATTCAATTTCTCCCAAAGGGGATAAGAAAAATCTAGATTCTTCATTATCATGGGCCCCCCTGACTTAGAGTATAAATACGTAATATTTTATAGTAGTAAGCCTCTTGTGAAAGAAGAAAATAAAGCAGAGATTGTAATACCGTGGATTTGTAGGATTGAAAGGGGATTTAAATCATTTAATCCAACCCCTTCACTTTTCATATGGGAGAAAATGAAGCTTGGGCATAAAGTAGCTTGTGTAAGACATTCAGCTAAAGATGGACAGAGTCTAAATTAAATATTTCCTCTACCAAATCATGTCGTTTCGCTCATCTCTATGTCATTGCCTGAAATTAGTTATTTTATGCTATGAAATTAGATACTATTCAATTAAGATTCCCTGTTATCTGCTTGAAAACCAATCTTTATACTAACCTGTATATATGGTCACTTAATTGTTTCATAAGCATCGAAATAAGAGGAAGGACGAGGAAGAGGGAAAACTGGGTTTTCTTTTAGGGAAAATCATAAGCTAATGTTTCATGAGTGTCTTTGAACTCACTCCACTCAAGGAGAACCTTCTGACTCTAGGGCCACCTACCTGACTGGCACACAGTGACCCTTCTTCTAGAGCTAGCCAGAAACTCCCACAGATGCTGAAACTATTAATCTTCTCTGACAACTAGATTTATAAAACTCTCACTTGAGTCTTTGCTTTCAATTAATCTTCTTATGCCCCTAGATCTAGGATCCTTATTCAAAGAGTGAGTATTACAATAACTGAAAATCCCATTTGGTGCTTTATCTTTGCCTGGAATGAGTTCAGCTGGACATTATACAAAGCAAAACCAGCAACCCAGACAACTAACTGGTCCTCAGAGTTCAAGAGCAGCAAAGTGGGAAGAACCACCCTCCCCCAGGGTGTAACTGCTGTGCACTTTTAGTCATCAAATCAGGCAAAAGCTGTCGAGACTTGTTTTTTAAGAGTGAGAACCAAGGAGAATTATCTCTGAGCATGTGCATACCTACATGGATTTATTGCTGTACTCCATGGGAAAATATTGCAAAGGCAGAAGCCTTAATTCTGACAAAGGTGAAAAATTATAACAAACTTTCAAAGGGAAGTGTGATATTTGCAAAAAATATGACAGGGATCGTTTTTCTTTGGGGGATCCAATAGAGAAGTTTCCCAACCACTCAATTCCGAAAGGGCCTCCTGACTAGAAGTACTTGCAAATGACATCGTTCTCCATGCATGAGTGGAAATGACCTGAGACCCAATCAACCGGTCATTGGGATTCCTGGCAACACCTACCAGGAATTTCCCCATGAACAGAATTCCTCCCAAGCCCTTCTCAGCATCCACAAGTCTAAATCCAGGAGGCAGGCATTTTGGCATGTTTTCTTTAAGCTTTTGTGAATAACCAGGCTGACTAGTGGGTAGGAGGGGAAAATAAATATTTGTCTTTTATAGGAAATGGTAACTGCTACAGGCAAGGACATCACAGCCTGCTTCTGTATCCAATAGGAATTTTTTTCAAAATGGAATTCAATAGCTTCCTAAAGTCACTTAATGTCCCTTATCAAGGAACTGTGCTCTTAGATGCAGATTTCCTTATTTTATTTTTTTTCATAGGTCAGGAGCACAATCTTGAAAAAATCTAGGGTCAAACATTAGCCTGAAAGATAAGCCATCCTTCTCATTAACTGATTTGGATCTCCTGAATTATAGTTAATCATTAGGTGATGATTCTACTTGGGTTTCCCAAAGGGTAAACTGAGAAAAAGAAGGATTGATGTCTACGTGGGTGGTTTTCTCCTGAAATAATTCTGATTCCTGCAAAGATCAAATGACCCTACAACAAATGCTGTTGCCAAAGCTCTGACTCACAAACTTTACAGGATGTGGTATATGTCCCTGTCCTGCTATGTCAATTTGTGGCTATGTAACATTTATGCTTCATCAAACATTAACAGACTATTATATGCATTCATCTGTGATGGCTCTATTAGGATAAATCTATACATCTAACTGACAGGTATCCCATTTAGATAAAGGCTATTAGAGGTATACTCTGGATCTGTTTGCACTATTTATGGCACATATTCTAGGCAAGAGAATCCCTAATGGGCAAGGCATGGGAAGAATGAATGAGGCCTAAAACACCACAGGATATAGTCACATGTCAACTTTACATACATCCTGGAAATTCAGGCTAGTCTTGAATTTGGTCCATTGTTTACTTTTAATGATTTATTGAATTTACAGATAAGTGTGATCTCCTGAGTATATTCTCATGAGACAATGCATGCAGCCTCAAACCAGAAAAGCCTGCTTTGTAAGGCTGCATCTTGTTTCTTCTGAACACATTATCCCCTTATCTATTCATCGGTTAAACAGGATAGCAAGAAAAAAGCTGAGGACAAAAGAAACCAGATTGATTTTCGGGCAGGACCTTGAGACGACAATCCTGTGACCAATGCTTTGAAAAACCACGTTAGCCTGTACCAGTGACACGTTGGCCCTCTACAGCAAAAAAAACAGCAAGCTCTTAGAGGCCTCGCCTGGATTCTTCTACTTGGTGTAAAAAAAGCTCTTGGGATTACCACTTAGAGACAATCCTAAACAGTTTCACAGCTAAACCCTGGGACTGTCCCATTGGCTACCGGCCTACGGGACATCTGCTATAAAGGAGGTACAGTCCACTACTACATTTGAGCATGTCCTTGGCCACCCTGTTAACTGGTCATTTAATGAAAATGAAGACCTACATCATTTTTTAAAAATCTGCTAATACTGCTCCATAGTGATCTTTATTTTTAAAAAAATAGGGTTTAAGAGACAAGACAGGTAGAATCTCATATCTTTTGTAGGTTCCAAAGCTGTCCTATTTGGGAGACAGAAGTTACAAGCAGTCGATTACTAAGGGTAGGTGATTCCAAAACCACCTTCTCCTCAGAGAATTGGGGTTCTAGAACTACCATAGCCCTCTGCTGGCCTCGGATGACACACCCTACTCCCGCCTGTGGACCAAGGTTCACCTTCTCCTTAGAGTCAAATGTGCTTTACTTAATAACTCAAGTCCCCAGCTAACTCCCAAACCCAGCCACCTTAGAGGAATACTGTGGGTGACTCGGTAGGAGACAGTAGCAGAGGCATTCAGCCTTCAGCTCGCATAACCAGTCCTTAAGGTCATGTTGGCTGCCTACCACAGGCAAGGCACTGGGCTATGCCAATTAGATTGTGGATTCCTTCAGACTCCCACAGCCTTGAAAGAGATTCCATCTGGGAAGCTGTGTGGAGCCTCCTTTGTTGCCACTCTGTGGTTCAAGGCTGCCTGGACTCTGCCATAGGAATGCCACCTGTACAGGGTTGTGCGTGGCTCTTTGTTTTCTGTTCCATTCCCACTGAAGAGGAAGACAGGCTCTGCTTCCAACCGTGTCCTGTAACTGGCTTTATGTGCTTTGATACAACAATAAGCTTTCTACATATCAGACATAAGTACCAAGATATGGTATGGAAAGGGGCATGGCCAACACAAGCATCCTCTGTGTGCCAGGAGGACAAAATGAGAGGCCAGCTGGGTGAATGTGATAGGAACAATTTGGGAATGGAAACTACTTTTCTGGTTAAAATCCCAAATGAGAACCTTATGGGAAAAACAAAGAAAGCAAAACACAGATGGAACAATCTCACTCGATTTCACTGTGTCAGGTGAGTGCAGACCAAACATAAATGAATTTCAATAGTTAAATCTGATTAAAATCCATGGCAACTGTGCTCCCTTGATTTTGTCAATAGATGCAGTGGTTATGCACAAGATGCTTTCTAATCCATTATCAAGCTTAGAATTATGACATATATATTGAAATTTCAACTATTATTCTTACAGGCGTTCTAGAATCTCCAAATTGCATGGGATGGAGAGGCAATGGGTTCCATGATCAGCCACACTGAAGCCGTGTGGCTTCCACTAAAATTCAGGAAACATTTAACTTAAAGGGTGCTGAAAGATAAATTGTCCAAGTTCCCTAAGAGATATTTGCTTTTAGTCTCAACATGTGCAAACTCTACAAGACATTGAAGGGGAGTTACTTCTAGAGGCTTCTAGCAGAATCTCTTGTGCTTAACAAGGCAAGGTATGAACACTTTAAGGAATAACACACCATGTGTGTTCATTGTCCCAAATCCCTGGAATGTACCACACTGCTTTTGTCATATCCCCTGGGAAAAGAATTTCCACAGTTATGCATCTTGAGAGGCAAAAAAAAAAAAAAAAAGAAAGAAACTGGCAAGAATGTGTCTTCAATTCAGTGTGATTCCTCCAGCAGCATCCATTCAAACAATAATAATACAAGTGAGCAAATTAGACGTTTATGAAGCGTTATTTGGCAAAGACACAGCACCCTGCCTGTCGCATGACTCACAACAGCTCCTTTAAGCCTCAGCTAACAGATTAAGTAACATAGAAATATATGCATTTTTTTTCCTTTTAAAAGAAAGCTTGTTGATATCATCTTTACCATAAGGTACGCTGGGGAGCTTAGTCAAGAATTTGCTGAGAATCATATCCTTATTTTTCACGTTTCCAGGGTTCTTCCTCAACACTGCAGTCAGCTGACTTTCCATTGGTTGCCAGAGTTACCTGAAAATAATTATCATCAGCATCCAGCTTACAGGCCAAGAAACAGAAAAAAAAAGGGGGGGGGGTGGTTATATGGAGAAGCACTAGATCCAGGGTTGTAATACACAACTGAGTATTGTTTTTAAAAAAGAGTTCCTTCCAAATTGATTTTTGAACCTGTCTTGGCATTCAGAAGTGATTTGAGAGTTAAAATATCACAAGTATTTAGGGATTACGGATGTTTTGCAATTTGAGGGATAGCTCCTAATACAGTTTTAGGATTGTAGGGTGTCTTGCTATCCGCAGACCCATCACACAGTAACAATTTTAAAAATACAGTGAGTGCCATGTGCTACTCCATACAATCACAGAGAGAAAATTCCAGAACTAGACAGCTAGTTCTACTCATGCATGTGAAAAGTTCAGTTACAATGAGGCCAGGTATATTTCACACAGGTACAATTTTGGTTTTTTAATTAATTAAATAACTTATTCATTTTGTGGTGATGAGGATAGAACCCAAGGCTTTACACGTGCCAGGCAAGTGATCTGCCACTAAGCTAAATTCCCAGTCTCTGCTCATTTTAAAAATCAGAAATCATCATGATTTGGCTCTACCAAATAAGCTATCTTTACATTAAAAAAATTGTTTTAAGGAGAGGAGGGAGGATTCAAAGCCTGAGGTCAGTCATAATAATTCAAATTATTTCAGTGCAGACATTTAATTAATCAAATATAATTATCAGACCATCTATATTATGCTTTCCTGGCTCAAAGCAAACTGAACCCTTATGCAGAACGGGAGGTTCTCCCCTCCACTACTAACCAGTTTTCCTAGCTTACCTTCTGTCTGTCCTCAACGTCATGTGCAAACTTAAACCCACGACTGATATTCCACATAATGGAGAGACTGGATTTATGGAAGCATTAGAATATGGAGACATGACAAATGCAGCAATGTTTGAAAGAAATCTGACCTTCTTACCCAAGTGGAAATGAAATGCATGCATCATGAGCATGCAGCATGCTGAGAACAGAGAACCAAGCGCCCTTTGCAAACCAAGCAAATAAAAATAAAAGCCATTCATTCCTCCCATCCCTATTAGCCACCCCCTACCATTTTGTTTAGGAAGTCCATGCAGTTAGCAATGACTAGGCCACATGCAGTTACTCTGATTAAAATGTAAAAGCTATCACATAACTTCAAGCTACTATTACCAGGCAAGAGTTGAAAATAGACCAACATGACATAACAATACTTGAAGTGGTTAAAGTTTTGACCAGAGCTACAGCAAATTGGTTTCCCCTTCAGTGAACTATCAAGAAAGTCTGCCAGGGACAGACTGGACAAAGCTGGCTGTTCACTGTGACCTTGAATGTGCTCATTTGGTTCTTAGTGCTGAACCAGATCAATAGCAGTGCAAAATTGTCAATCACGGTGTGGTGCCTTTGTAAGGATCTCCTCCTTGGAGGAGGTGGGTTTTTTTGTTTTGTTTTTATGTTTGTTTTATGTTTGTATGTTTGTTGCCTATGCTTCAAGAGGAGCTGGGAAAGGATTTTTTTTCTGGCATTTCCTTTCCTGACTAAACTAATGAAAGTTGGGACTTGACTCCCTAACCCATTTTAACCATCTGTGGTCCAATCACTTGAGGATAGAAAAGAAAAAGGGGAGAGTTTTGGCAGGAAACATTTACTTTTCCCATGCTGGCTTAAAAACTGAGGAGACTGAAACTGACTAGAAGAAATTTCAAAGGAATGAATAAGTATGGCCCAGATATTGTGAAAAATGGTGTTCACTCATCCCCATCGCTCTGACTACCTGCTTCTATGTCAGTGTTAACACAATTAACTGACCTGGAGAGAGAGGAGCCAACTTGCCCATCCCACCAAAGGCTGAGGACCATCTCGTCTTCTCTAAGCTGAACCCAGTCGCTTTACTAAAAATGCAAACAGCTGAAATAGTTATTAAGCCAATGATTCTATTGTCATCATCTTCATGACCTGCTCTGTTGGGTCATTGACCATTTAAATGCTAACAAATGAACACATCTACAGGTGGCTGGTTGAATAGTCAACTGAGAAGAGATTGAGCTATGTCAGTCTCTATGGTCCATCTCAGACTGATCCATTTGTATGAAACTGTCCATCAAAAAGGTTACATTAAATATAGCATGGAGTCAAGATGACAAGAGGATACATTCAACAAATATTTACAGAGTACCTATATATAACATGCCAGACACTGTTTTAGAAGTTGGGGACATGGTAGTGATGAATAGGGACAAAATTCTACTGTTCATAAGCTTACTTCTTAGGGACAGGAATAATTCACAACCATCTCCTTTTAGAGTTTGAAATATTTTGCTTAAAAATGAAGCAAATTTCTCCTGGTGTCCTTTAAGAAAAAAAAAATCAGGAAGCTTTAACTGTAAAGACATCTCCATGCACATACACCTTTATTTATTTATTTTTTTCAAAACATGTTCTTGACAATATTAAGAAACCTCTTGAAACATTCCAAAAGGGCTATGACACAGGCAATTAACCACTAGGATTCCTCATACATATGACTGTGAAATTAAAAAAATATATATGATTATTGCCATTTTGTCTCGTGCAATTTTTTCTTACATGTCAATGATTTGAGTTCAAGTCCTATCTTCTCTACAACACTGTACATTCCTTTCACTGTCCTCTAGTGCCTAATTAAGGGGTTTGTCAGTAAAAACTTGATGAATGCTCAAAATGCAGGATGTCCCAGACATGAGGTGGGGACACTCAACTAAACCTTACAAGGCACATGATAAGTATTTGTGAAATATAATAGAATATAAATCCATTCCATGAGAATGTGGACCCTTGACGAACATTTCAATGGGGAATAGTGTTTTCACTTCTGAAAAACACTAATTCCAATGAATGGATCATGCCCTTTAGGTAGATGTGAATTTTAAAAAATTTAAATTATTTTCACTGAGTCCAATAATTCATGCAATGGCTTCTTGGTGGGTAGGTTTCTTCTCTGATTTGTATCAGAGCCCCTGCTCACCCACCCATGTACCTGATGCAGAGGAGATAAACAGAAGACTGTGCCTGGTCCACTAGAATTCCAGACCTATAACACAGTCCAGTGAAGAGAATTGCTTCCTTAGATGTCTGTCACAAATCAGGGTATGTATTTGGAATGGCTCAGATATAACACAGGAAAGAATCAAAGATTTAATGTGATTATATCAACAGGAATCAAAAGGGTACCAGAGAGGGCATGTGGCTCAGTGATTAAGCACCTCTGGGTTCAATCCCCAGTACCAGATAAATAAATAAATAAAGCTAAAAAGGTACCAGAGATCTGTGGTGGGACCAGATTGTCCTCAGTTGCTTCATGGAATCATTTTAGCAAACCAGACCCAAGTTGACTCTGCCCACCTGCCAGGGTTTCTCCAAGTTTGCTTTACTCTGGTCATAACACTCTGTCTTTAACAAGGTCCAGTTAGCTACAATGAAGGCTAGGCAGAGCCCATCACGCTTGAAGACTTGGCCCCCAACAGCCTGGAGAAGAACCCAGTACATCCACGCTGTAGAAAAAGATGGCGCTGCTAGGTAGTATGTGAGATACAGTGTTTTTAAAAGACTTATCTGGATAATTGTTCTGAAGGATAGTTTTTCTTCACTTGAAATTGCTTCCCTATTTTGGGAGCAAAGTACTGCCAGGTCAAAACTTACCCTTCCCACAAAAAAATAATTAAGAGAAAGCAAAGTTCTATGGGCACACTTTTTACCAATTTTATATACAACAAAGAGGAACACTCATGCGGTATCAATTGAGTGGTATTTTCTCAACGTTCCATTCAAGGAATAGAAGATTGAGAAGCCAGAAGAGCTCTAGCAATCTCCACATTCTTGGGTAAAATAGTCAAGAAGGCTAACCAATTAGTAGAGTAGGTTGATGCCGGAATGAGAACGGTTGTAACACATCACATAGATGAAACAAGCAACAGATTGGTTCTTTTAGTGTCAGACTTGATTTCCTGCCATGTTAGACACAGAGTTAGATGAGCTGGGACTCATAGAAGCTTAGGTTACATGGTTTTAAAAAAAAAAAAAAACATGTCAGTGATGGATGCAGGGGTTTTTTGTTCTTTAAAGAAGTCGAGCATGCACTACTATATACAAGTCTCGATATCCAGGAATGAAAAAGGTACCTTGCACTCATCTACTATGACAGAGTTGTGTGCAGCATAGACACATTGATTAGAGTTGCTTTCCCTGTGGTTCTTCATGTCATCGTAAATGGACTGAGTCTTGGTCATTTCAATGTCTTCATGCACTCGGTGTTGGGAGTCAATTGTATCCAGCTCAGACTTGGAGAGGTGATAGACAATCCCTGCCCCAAAAGAGTCACCCACGACATTGACTGAAGTTCTCATTCTGTCCCTGGGATAAAGAACAGAAGAAGTTTAATGAGGAAGCATTGTGATGTGATGGTTGAAAGGTCAAGGTCTAGAGCAAGAGAGATTTGGGGTTGAGTTCTGACTCCACCTTTTCCCTCTGTCTGACCGGGGCCAACTTATTTAACCTTTATGGACCTTGATTTCCACTTCTCTTATAGGCTTGTGTGAGAACTAAATGAAATACCGTAGGTAAAGTGCTTAGCAAAAAATGCCCGATGAATGGTAAAGAACCAATAAGAAACAGCCAAGGAAAAGAGGAGAAGAAAGAATTAGAGAGAAATGTGTCCCGGTCTCAAAACTGGTATCTAGGCTCCAGACACACCTAATTGTGCCCGACATTGTATCCTTTCAAACTGTTCTTCAAGGATTCCATACTACCTCTGCTGATTTTGTTTTATTAATTCTACTAAAAACAACTAAGGAGCTGTGAACTTTTCCATAATAGAAAACCCATCTTTTTTTTTAAGGGTGTAAACTAAGCCTGCCCTTTCCCCCAGCTTGCCACCCCCCAACCCTGCAGAGATTGCTGTTGGATAGGAAACCAGCCACAATTTTCTCAAATATGTGTTGTGACTGTGTGCCCCAGAAAAATAAAAATAGTGTATCTTCTTTTTTCTATTAACCTAAAAAAAATGAATCTTCCATACTGTTTCTGGAACCATAAAGTACTAAGAATGCCCTTCTTCTAGTCATGTGTTGCAGATTCTAACTTGAAATATATGATGGTTGATATACAACTCTTCCTCTTAGGAGATCCATGCCAGGAAGGTTAAGTGAGTTTCTAAGAGTAAGTAATGTCCTCCCATCTGTAAGTATGAACCAAATCATTGTGAAAAATCCTTTTAGCATGTTTACTAGGTATTCAAAGTCCTAAAGAGAAGGATTCTGGAAAACTACTAAGCAAGTTTGTAAATAAGTAAACAAAACAAAAAAAAATAAAAGAAAGGAAATTAGGTAAAGATGCTGCTGAGAAATTCTTAGTTCAGGACATTCTAGCCTTCCATTCAAATAATGAGTACTATGATTAGTTCCAAGCAAAGTGTAAACTTTAGTGTTTTTTTTTTTTTCTTGGAACACAGGTATAAAATAAATTCTATTTCCTGTGCTCAAACCTACATCCAGGAAAGAATAATAATAAAGCTGTACTTTGAGAAGTCTATCCTGGCTCCCTTGAAAGCCAGTTGTTTGAAAAGTATAAACCAGCTGTCCTGATTTCAAGCAGGAAGATGCTGCCCATGGGGTGGGGGCAAAATCAGGGTTGACTCTGAACTCTCAGGAGCATCTCTCCATCTTGGAATGTTCTTGCCTTCTTCTGCTCTGGAGAATCTGCCTGAGGGTGATAAAGTCTGTATATAAATGAAGACAAGGTCTTGAGGTAATCCACCAAATCAACACTTGAAGTAGATTACTAGGAAGCCCCAGTACAAGGGTATGAGGAGCAATATATGACAGTAGTCAAGAAATGTATGGTGACGGGAGGAATATGAAGCTCTCATGTACTTGTGCACTATAGGTGGCTATGCAAGCAGCAATGTATTGCACATTTCAAAAAGCTAGAGGAAAGGATTTGGAAGTTTTCACCATAAAGAAATGATTAATTTTTAATGAGACAGATATCTTTAACCTGATTTAAACATGTAACGTGCATACGTGTATTGAAATATTAGTTACCTTGTTAATATGTATGATTCTGTTTTGATGTATCAGTTTAAAATAAAATTCGAAAGAACAAAGTAAGAAAAAGAAAAAAGCATGGATTCTAGAGGCAGACTGACTTGGATTCAAATGCTATATTTGCCCCTTCCATGTTGGGCAACCCTGGTCATGTTAGCATTTGTGAGCTGTAGTTGTCTCAGCTATAAAACTGAATAACCAGTACAGCCAAATAAAAAGGGTTCTTGTGAAGATCAAATAACATAGCAAAGTGTTTAGACTTCCATTTAGTCTGGACCCAAAAGACATTATTTAACATATGTGTACTTTCAATATTACTCTAAATTTTATCAGGTAAATTCAAATGTATTTTTGGTAGTTCCTTGGTAGAACATCCAAACATACCTGGCTAAGCTGCTATCTCCCCCTAAAAACACTAACTTCACTTATAGGAAAATTCCTCTGATGCTAAGAGCCAAGTATATGATGCATGGCATTTTTGGTTGAAAGGTGACACCAGCTAGCCATTGAGATGATATGATTATGTTAAGATTTGCATTCATATGGATATTGGACTCCTGCTGTTCACCTAGGCCTGCTACGGGACTCCTGGAGAGTTCCCATTGGTTGGGGAAGTACAGTAGGAGGGAGTTCCGGGGGAGGAACTTCCTCTGGTGGTTCCGGGAGAACGCCGCGTGTGATCTTCCCAGGCGCATACCGGACATTGGAGGCAGTTTCAAAAAATAAAGTTTGTTCCTGCTTGAGTGGCTCGTGATTTTGTGCCCAGCCAGACTGCGGCACTCTGACAGCTCTCCCAACTAACTTGCTGTGTTATCTGGCCATCATCTAGTTGTGGTCTGCTGAGGAAGTAGTGAACCCTATAATCCAAAAATCTGAAATGCCCCCAAATCCAAAAGTTTTGAGTACCAATATGATGCCATAAGTGGAACATTTCACACATCACCTCATGTGACAGGTCACAGAAAAAAAAATGTAGGTTCACTAAAAATATTGTATAAAATCACCTTCATCTGATATAGACATACATGTGTGTGCATGTATGTGTGCATGTTACATGAAACAAATGAATTTGGTCTTTTGACTTGGGGTCCATCCCAAAGATATCTCATTGTGTATAGGGCAACTATTTAAAAATTTAAAAAAAAACTGAACTCTGAAACACTTATGGTCCCAAATATTTCAGATAAGAGATATTGAATTCCTCCTTGGCAAGTGTCCGGTACCTTTGACCAAATGTTAAATTCCAAAGAATGATAAAGTCTTCAAAAACAACTCTCTGAGTACCCATCGATCCCATGATCCAGGAGTACCTGCTTTATTGGAGAATAGATGGGCAAGAGGTAATGGGGTAATAAAATGACTAAGATGATGACGATGATTATGTCACACTGACCAGGTATAGGAATACACTTTACTGATAGTACCTTAAATCATACTTAACATAACTACAAAAACATAGGAGGTCCTGTTATTCACATTTAATACATGAAAAAAAGTGAATTCTGAGGAGATCAAGTGGCTTCCCAAAGTGCCAGTCATAGGAAACTCATAGAGCCAAATTTAATACACACAGTATGATTCCAGAATCCACTGCCTGACACATGTTGCAAAGAAACTCATAGCTACACAGCCCTGATTTTGAATCTAGCTCAGTCACTTAATAACCATGTGATTTGGATGATTTGCTGCTATCGTCCAAATATCTACATCCCTCCAAAAGTTATATATTGAACCTAGTCCCCATAATGATAGTATTAGCAGGAGAAGCCTTTGGGAGATGATAAATTCATGAGGGTGGGGCCCTCAAGAATGGGATTAATGCCTTTATAAAATATGCCCATCAGAGATCCCTTTCCCCATAGACCATGTGAGATTACAGTGAGAACATAACTATCTGCGAGAAAGCGAGCTCTACAAGACACGGCATTTGCCAGTTCCTCCGTCTTGGACTGCTCAGCTTTCAGAATGGTGAGAAATAACCTCCCTTACTTATAAGCCACCTATTTCATGGCATACTGTTACAGCACCCTGAATGGGCTAAAACACTTGCTCAGCCAGAATTTTCCTCATACAGCCCGAATATCTATTTCATAGGATTTGGGAAAGATGAAGTCAGTTCATGACCCAGAGTTTATACTCAGTATATCCTGGCTCCTTTCCCTTTGTGTATAACCCCCATTCACCATTATGTGGACAACAGCATAAAATACTAAGCTCAAAGTTCATGACTTCTCTGTTTAATAAAGGCACATTCACTCAAAAGTTCACAGACTCCTGTTTCTTCAACCCTTAACTTTTGACACCAGATTTCTTCTCACCTAAAGCAGCCACTGAGTCAAGTTTTTGGGATAGGATTTCTGGATGAGCTTTCCCACGGTTGTACAGTCATCTGTCTTTAATCCCATCAGTTCTTGGAAACAGCCATCAGGACAGGAATGGATGGAAGACAGAGTTGAGTAGAATTAAAGCAGACTGATGTAGCTGCCAAAATCAAAATAGAAAGGGCCCTGGACCTGGGGTTGGAGCCTTAGCCCACATCTTCTGACTCACCTGAGAAAATCACTTCTCACCTGAGCAGGAAGTAGGGAATGAAGCTATTCCCAACCTCACAGGAGGCTGTGAGGGTTCAATATGATCAGAGAAACACTCAGTATGTCTGAAGTACTCATTACAGGTTGCAAGAACCCATGAACCTGCAAACATTCTTTTTAACATTCTGCAAACATTCTCTCAATAGCTAAGTAAAAAGAAGAAACCATCAACACCAATACTTGCTGAGTTTGTTTGTTAATGAATTCATTCCTTCAACAGATGCCAATGAGCATATTAGTGTGTGCAGGGTGTTCAGGACAGCAAAGAATAAAACAAGACCCTGCCAACCCTCCCTTTTTCCCAAGAACCTCACTTTCTTGTCTTCCACATGAGAGTGAAATCAATGTTTTAATAGGAATGAGTACTGAGGGCTATAGGGTTATAGAGGTGGGATACTCTATTACACATGGGGCACAGGAAAAGATTCCAGTAGACATATCTTGAGTTGGGCCCAAAGGATGAGTCCAAAAAATAGAGCTTTGGAGAGACGAGAAATAAACATGAAATCTAAGAGAAAGGAGCACTCCAAAGAATTCAAGATGGCTGAATAGAGTAAAAGAAGCAGAAAATAAGAATTAACTTAAGTCACAAATGGCCTTAAGAGTCAAATTCAGACAGCTAGGACTTTACCCAAAGTGTAGTTAGGAGCCATTTAAGGGAAAGATCATGTTTATGGGCTAAATAAGGACTAGACTGAGAGAGGGACCAGTTAATGAG